CATAGAAGTCGCAGTTCTACTGCAAGCTGATGAAGGGTAAAGAATAACAGAAGAAGTTCCCTCTCGCTGATTAAAGAGATAGGAGTGATGTTTTGCTTATATTTTATAACATTTCATTATTCCATACCTTCAAGTGGATTCAGTAACTACGAACTGAGAAGAAAATACTAAGCAGTGCATATGTAGCGCTCAGCTTAAGTTTTAATTTTTAGAAATGATTCCAGTGAAATGACAAAAAAAATAGCAAAAAAACAAAAGGTCCACAAATAAGAAAAACATTATTGTTGTTCTCTCAAATTTTTTTGTTTTTATATTACATTGATGATTTTGAACTCATCACATCGCATTATGATATCATTGTCGCTACATAGAAATTCACTGCCACGCAGAAAATTTGTCATGCGAACATGGTGGAGATTCATTTTGTGAGGAATCGACTGATGATTTTATTTTTCGAAACACAAATAGAAACTAAGGCATCGAATTACGTAACATAACTTAGGCAACCAACTAACGCTCTAGGGCATCAACGACGATCTGCATTGGTTTCAATGTAGATGTGATCAAGAATACTTCACCCATTCAAACACAAATCCACCTTCATCTCAGTTTATGCAGAAGCTTAATAAGTGGGACTTTATGTAACAGGACGAGATAGTGAGCGCTAAGGCGCTGTCGATGTGGACTGTTGTCGAACTTACTTTAACTTCTCCAGACGTTTTCACTATATTAACATAATTAAATTTATATTCATTATATTAACATAATTAGATACCATTTTCGAAAACGTTCGAACACAAACAATGCTTCAAAACGTAACATGTTTATATATATATATTTATATACGTATATATATGCTCACCGGGAGATACCAAAATCTTTCGTATAGTGCAGTCCATGTCGTGACATTATCGAGTTCTGTAGTTACCGAAAAATTGTCAGCAATAGCCAAAAAACCTACGTTGTAGTAAATTCAATATTTTTTGAGAATTCTTCTAAGGGTTAAGACACTAACTTCAAGTTCCAACAACGAATAGGATGAAAAACTTTATATATGTGTCTGTGTGGAGATTTTGACAAAGGCATAGAAAAAATTGGGTCTTTTAAAACTATTTACATCAAGCCTTTCCATTCTTCGACTCTCTATCTTCATATTCTCGATTCTCCTCCTCTTAAAAACTCCTTTTCCCTCACAAATCGCCTTTTTTCATCATCACGAGTGAAATATTGGTAGCAGCTGCAACGTATTCTTAGTTTATCAGTGCTACATCCACTACACATCTCTCACTTCACTAGCCCTATTTATAAAAGTACCACTCTTGAATAAATTAATCTTACAAATATTGAAAAAACTTGTTAGACTCGATCGCACAATAGCGCGCGTTAAACGGCGCGATTTCCACAAGGTCAATCGCATACGATAGGGTAGTGGAAAGCTTTGTGACATAAAGGAAAACTGGCCATGTCAACACCCAACCAGGCGAGTTACACTTTTCATTCTCAGTTGATGTCATCACTGTAACATTGACGAACAACAGTCAAACCAATAAACGCTCAAAATTCTGCTAGAAAATCGAAATTCTGTGCATCTCTGAGAACAGAAGAGGAAATGAGAAGGAACACAGATCTTTTTCCAATGATTCGGCTTTATGGACTAAAAATGTTGGCAGTACCAAAACTTCGGCCTTCGAAAGATAAACATGATAGCGACATTTAACGATGACGTGAATGAATATATGTCAACTTGATGACGTGATTCGACAAAAAATTCATTTTTTTTAGTGGCTCACGATTTTTTTCTATTTTCTATAAATTTGAGCATAATCTCTTACATTTTGCAACTATCACTAAGATTAGCTATTTCATCAACAGTTCAATACAATACAACAAATCGATTGTGTGTTTTTTTAAAGCTCAGCGTTCCGTTAACTCAATGAAATATTTTCCAATTTTATATGACCCGAGTTCACGTGTACAGCTCGGACCCAGCGTTTCTCACATTTGATTAGTTTCCTCACAAACATCGTCCACGAATTTCTTCCGAGTTTTTACGTGTGGCTTCGGTTGCTGCTTGAGGATTTTCATTTCATTTTGAATGTCGTAGAATGCAGATCGAGCAATTCTCCATGGAGTCCTGAGATAGCCAGACTGGAGCGTTCCCAGTTGGATAGCAGAAAGCGATTTTTTCCCCAGACAAGACCGGTACCAATTTCCCGACCCCGCAGGGATGAAAGGTTTAGATGGCCTAAGGCGGAATCGAACTAGCACCAGACACGCGGTAACGGATATCACTGCCATTGTGCTATCCACCCCCTATTCAATAAAATGAGCAATGAGAAAGTGAAAACTATCTCAATAAGTGTTGTTGTCGACTTTTTTTTGATAGTTCGGTTTTGTTCAAGTAATTTTACTCACGTTGTGAGTATATTTCAGGAAACTATTGTACCAGTTGAACTCATACAGGTTCTAGATGAAAAAGAAAGATTTATGAGAAAAATGCCGAATTTCTTTAATACAATTCATCAGTTCTCAACTGATCACATTATATAGGTATTGCATTATCCACAGTAGAAAACACTAGCAGAGGCTTTCTTGTTGCAGTTGTTTCTTTTCGTACAAGTAAGCAATTTTATTAATTATAGTCAAGATCAGATAGCACAATGGTATATGCCGTTTATCGCGAACGTGGTGCCGGTTTGATACCACAACAGGCTTTCCTCGCCCACTATCTCTTCCGCGTCAGGAAATTTGTACCATACTTGTCTTAGTCACTTCATATCCTCAAATGCAAGTGAAAACTCTCTAGGCTGATGAGTCCGGAAGTTTAGGAGGAACTGACTCGACCAGCATTCAGTGATACTCATAAAGAAGACGGCAATTCTCAAGCAGCCAAATCCAGTCGCAAAAAGTTTAAATACGTTTGTGGATGGAGTGTGGATGGATGGTTGTGGACTCGAAGAAACTAATCGAATAAAAGAACTGCTGGAATCAACACAGTGTGAAGACGATCCAAGTAAGTTAAGAAGTAAGTCAATGAAAATTATAATCAGTACTTTGATAACAAATGCCTTTTACTACAGACACACTTGTATTTACTGAAATAAACAAATGATTTAATCAAAAAAAAGAATTAAAGGAGAACAAAAACGGAGCCATTTTAAGCCAACTTGAAGAACACATCAACAGTTGGGAAACGAACGCGCTATTGTCCTTTCCGGGGAGTAACGCCTTCACCACCACACCATGCGGATCCTTCATTTCCCCTGTCTCCCAGCTAGTTCCATCGATCGCTTGACATCAGCAATCACTCGTCAACGGGATTGATCTGGGGAGCCCAAATCGGCATTGAACCCAGTTAAGCTGAGGCTATTGTTATAATCACAATCTTAACCTTTTTATTTATTTAATGTCTAATCTTTTTAATGGTGGGGTATGTTGCTAAATATAAGTTGCATAATGTTAAGATATTTGCAAAACTCCTCACTATATAAGTTATATTTCGCAACATACCCTGCCATAAAAAAAAGAATAGCCAGTAAATAAAAAGGTTGAGATTGTGATAATAACTATAGCCTCAGCTCAACTGGGTTCAATGCCCATTTGGGCTACCCAGGTCAATCCTGTTGACGGGTGATTGCTGATGGCAAGTGATCGATAGAACTAGCTGAGAGACAAGCGAAACGAAGGGCTCTCATGGTGGGGTGGTGAACGCGTTACTCCTCGGAAAGGACAATAGCGCGTTCGTTCCCCACCGCAGACATCTGCGGTCCGGAGTCTTGCAAATATCTCAGCACCACTAAAGTTATATTTCGCAATATACCCTGCCACTAGAAAGAGTAGACAGTAAATAAAACGGTTAACATCAAGCAGTTTTAACTATGATGAAAGAAAGTAATATAGAACAACGAAATCACTTTCTATGTGATGATCAGAGTGCGAAGAAATCACTACAGAAAGCTGCCATGATATAAACTTGTCAACAACAACAAAAAAGAGAACTGTTGTGTCCTACTGAATGGTTGATTCGAAAAGATTTACGTAAAGATTACAAATGTAGTGGAACTCAAGCAATATAACTCCTTAGAAATCTATACACCAACGTAGATTGGAAAGCACGTTGTAATATTTCATAAATTCTCAATAGAAAATATTTCTAAGCAATAAACGGTTGGTACTCAAGGGTAATCGCGGTTCAAATATAGCCTGGAATCTGAGTTTTGCAAATATTCCATCATTATTGTTGTTGTATTTCATATAACACCCAGTCTTCAAAAAAATCATAGACTAAGTAAGTTAAAAATGGTTAATAATCAGTTTTTCACGTATTTAACAGCTAAAAGACAACTAATGATTAAAAAGCAGTGGTATTTTTCACTATCCACGAAGGGTTAAGAAAAAACAAAAACTAAGAGAAGTGTAAAAATAAAATCCTGACCTTCAATCCCAATGAGAAGTGAATAATTTGTAAAGATCTGGCTAAGTAATATTGTAAAGCAAGGGGAAACTACTCATAACTGATCAGATAATACTTACTTAAGTGGATGACCCGTATTCACTGGTTTTGCATGTCCCCGTAATTTCCATTCTCTGTTGATTTGCTGGGTTAGCCATTGTAGTTCCCTGGAGTCCCGAGTACAGCCTAGCCCAACTCTGCCTCAGATAGTCACTAGCTGAAGCAGTCGAAGCCCTTGTGGATCAGAACGAGACTTGCCACCATGCGACTAGTTTGATACCAGAACGATGGTGGATCCTGGTATTGGATTACTCTCAGCTGAGCTTTCTGATGGAAATGCTGGACTCCTTCTCAGCTTGGCAGACCCTGCCGCGTGGATGAATCCCCGGCTGTACATGGCAGCCCAACACCCAGAACACTTCCTAGCCACGATGATGCGGTAAACTGTTGAGAAGATCAGATAACAACCCGTATAAATACTTACATCAACATTTCTGCCTCGTCAAAACATTTCAGTTATCATTTAATCTTTTTATTATTAACATTTTCAAGCCTTTAAGAGAAAACATAATGAACGAAGAACATGTCGAATCTTAAGGAATTTTAAACATAGAAACTAACAAATTAACCTTAAGCATAGAATTTAGTTCTAAATTGGTTCCTTCAGATCATAATAGCTAATTTCAACCAAAAAGAAAAAATTACAAAATTTATTTTTACGTATTTATTTTGGATGACCCGTATCACACCTATTGCGCGGTTCACAACACTTGCATTCGATTCGTTTCCCTCGCATCCATCATCCACAGTGGTCTTCGAAAATTTCGCGTGTTCTTTCGGCTGCGGCTTAGGAATTTTTCATATTCATGCATACCGCAGAATGCTGGTTGAGTCAGTCCTCTTTGCAATCTTGGAGATAGCCGGAATAAGGAGTTCCCACGTGGACTGATGTAGAGCGTTGGGGTGGAGGTCGAACCAGCACTTTTGCTTCCTGATCAACGGCATCACTAACCACTTCGCTATCACTAACCCTAATTATAAACAAATGCGAAAATTGTAGCCGAAACGAGGATGTCAAGAGAAAACTGGGGAGTAGTGAATTAGATGCAACAATAACAAATATTAACATTAACACACTAAATTCACGACTTTACAATTTTTAGAGCTTTAATTAGGTTATATAAATGCTAACAACACTAATACAAAGTGTTTATTATTAGCAAGCAATTAATGAGCGAAAAATTTGCTTGTAGGTCGAGAAAAACCCATTACTGTTAAAAGAATTATAAATGTTAAATTTTAAAATTACCCTCAAACAAAAATCAAAAACCCGGATGGTGTGGTGGTGAAGTGCGCTACTCCTCGATGAGGACAATAGCACGTTCGTTCACCACCGCATTCACCTGCGGTCCGGAGTTTTGCAAATATCTCAGCAATATATACGAGTTATATTTCGCAACATACCCTACCATTAAAAAGAAAAAGGCAGTAAATAAAAGGGTTAAAAAGCAAAAAGTTGAATATTCACAAAAAAGTACGCAACAGTTAGAAAAACAATTCAATCGCTTCTTTTCTTAAAATGAAACCGGTTATGTGTTATGGTACGGAATTTCTGAGCGTTAATTTATTTTTTCCATTAAAAACGTTCTAACTAGAATTGATCCCTCCTAACGGTTTACTGCCTCATTGTGGCTGGAAGGTGTTCCAGCGTTTCGGGTTGAGATTTACAGTGAGTGGGGGATTCATCCACTCGGTAGGGTCTCCCAAGTTGAGAAGGAGTCTAGCGTTTCCATCAGGAAGCCCAGCTATGAGTAAACCAATACCAAGGTCCACCACTGTCCTGATGCCAAACTAGTAGCATGGTGGTGGCAAATCCCCCTCTGATACACAAAGGTGGCGGCGTGGTGGTGACGATCTGGAGCAGACTTTGGCCGGGCTGGCCTCGGGGCTCCAGGGAACCACAGTGGCTAAGCCAGCAAAACTCCGGAAAAGTGGAGATTATGCTGGAGCTCGCACAACCAGCGAGGACGGGCCATGCAATTATCCAAGAAAGTAATTAGAATTGATCTGCTCTATGATGCGCTCACTTCTTCAGTGGAACTTGCAAAATATTTTGAATTGAGAGAAAACAAAGTAAGAACTTAAATAACAGATCTTACTGTGTATTCTATCGTATTGTACTTCAATCTATAACGACATAGTTTTCATCAATTACGAATGGAGACGTTCAAATCTATATAACAAATTTTCTTTGATTAATTGATGTGAGGTTACATCAGACTAAAGTTTTTTCTCCTCTAGAGCTTTACACTAAACGAGTAAGTGTTTTCTCCGTCAAATGAACCAGTAAAGGTACGTTAACCGATTTACTTCACTACAGCAGAGAATGGTGGCAAGGAACAAGTTTTCATGCTGCCACTGAATTAATTTGTAGCATAAATCGCTTGGTAACTTTACTACAAAAATTCCGACCATGTAGAGAGTTCACACGCTGTAGAGAAGACTTCTCACAGACGATAGATTAAATGAAGAGATAATAAATAAGCGTTGGGCCAGACAGGTTTTATAAATCGAATCCACCCTTTTCAGCCATATAAAAACTAATTTCGCAACTTCTACAGTAAAGCCTAACATTCCGACGTAAAAATGAGGACGAAAGATATGCATGGATAATACCAACTTTATAAAAGCCTCTAATTCGCCAATTTTTATCACATGCATCATTATTTTCCGCCATAATAAACTAAGGATAGTTTGATAATAATGGAGCCCGTCTGTGTTTTTTTTGCACATAAACATCTAGCATTAGCACGATCACTTTAAACTACAACGAAACACGTTCACCTTGAAGAAACTTTTCTTTCCTTTACGGTAAACGCTCTCAATGCGAGCCTGTGTTTGCATTTGCTTGCTGACATCCGTATCAAAAATGTACACTGTGGCAAAGATGCCTATCGATCGTGCAGAGCGACCATCCTGAAAGTACCGGAAGCGCTGATTTAGAAATGGCTGAACAATAAATTACTTTCTTAGCAGCACAATCTCATATAATGTATGAGATTTCAAGCTCTGAATATTATCTATTACAAGCCTAGACAACTTTACGATCTTCCACTTATGAATATGTAAAAGGATTGTGGATTACTCCTATAGCTTAATAATTATGTTGATTCCATTGTTGTCAAACACTGTATACTGCACTGTAGAATTAATAGCACCATGTGGTATCCCTGAAGGTTCGCTCTGGCAACAGTCGAAGATCTACCGAAGTTACTACTAGCTGACATCCGAAGTACCTCAATATACAAATGAAATCAATGACTTGGATTCAATAAAGAAACACATGAGTTTCCACCTGAGTTCAACTTCCTGCTGTTGTTAAAGCGTATTCTTCATATTCAATGACAACTTGGACATATTGGTGTTATTAAAATGGCATAAACGCCTTTAGCAGAAGAATTCACGATAATATGTCGATGACAGCAAAAAAGATGTTCCCTTTAACACCTTTGACGTGATACAAAAACGTTAATAGTAAGTGTACGCTTTATATTGAAGCGAGTGCAGCGCAATGGTTGAAGTTGTTCTGCAACACATGTTATGGCATTCGGTTCTACCTCACACCTTTGGCGAACTATAATCATCCCATCTCTCCGCCGTCGGTAAATTAGTATCAAACATGTTCGGAACGATAGAACCACTGTCAAGATACATAGGTAGATCCTCTAAGTCATTGTATAGGCAAAATGTGCATTCAATCACCGCTGAAATGCTTGATAGAGAAGAAGGCATTGCTTTTCTCTGAGACCTGTGCTTAATAATTTTAATCTTTTTCGCTTAACATTATGCATACTATAGCAATTGAATTTTTTCATACGGACTTCGAAGCTACCAGCACTGAGAAGAATTAATTCATTCAATACAAGTGATTTTAAAGACTTTTCTCGACTAATTAGTGAATTTGTTGTTCAGAGGTAGGTTCCCACTATTTTTTGAAGAAAAACCTTACACCATTCAGAATTAACTGCAGGAACGCATCTTTGCTGAGACCTTGGCTGCGTAGAATATCCTCCAATTTCGGAAGGCAGAAAGCCAACTTCAAATTATTGTAACGTCCTTTTGTGAGACCGTCCTGAATAACCTTCTCTCTCTTTTTATTCACATTTGTTAGCATCTACTATTCCTTACAGGTTATCCAAGCCAAAACGATGTTATACATATAGCGCAAATTGAAATCATACTTATACTGAAGAAATGTAAGATTACCAATAACAATAGAATAATGAACAGTAAACCTGCATTGTGTCAAAGTCCAAATATGTGTCGGGCACTTTGTAATCAATATCGGTGCATTTAGCAAGCTGTACAGCTTTTCACTTTAAACCAAAGCTTTTCATTTTAGAACAAAGCATAAGCACTTTCTAATCAATATCATCGAACTCCGACGTAGTACAGAAGGTTCATCTACCGACTCTGTCAGCTAGACTAAAAAAAGACTTAAGACCTTAATCCGAAAGCTCAGACAGGAGCGAACCAACGCTAGCATTCGTCGGCGTCCTACACAACACACAGAGGACACCTCCCTCCGATCCAAGCAGACTAATCACTGCCCATGGAAACGGTCTGGAAACGCCCTTATATGCAAATCTTAGCTCTCTAAGAGAAAAAATTCCCCGATATCTATGCAGTTATAAAGTCGGCCCCAAACTACGCATAAAGTTAAACTTAATGTCATCAATTGTTGCATAGCAATCCCTGAGCTTGGTGAATAGAGTAAGAAGCGTTCTATATCCAAGTAAAAGACATCGTCACTTAGGTAACGAATAGTAATTCCATGAATTTGTTATTGAAAGTTCCAGAGCTAGAATACGATGTAGTGTGCAGAGGAGGCGAGAAATGTGGAACAGAAAACCGATAACGAGAAATCCTCTCGGTGGAATGCAGCTCTCGGCTTGTATCTTCTATACAAATTCATATTTCAAGACGAAACATCGGTAGTCGTCCGATGTCGAAAACGTCTAGCAGCACAACATATATGGAAATCGGCTGTATTCTTAGATAAACAAAGTGGAGTTCTCTTGACAATTCGGTAGTGTCACTGTTCTGTGCTCGGTACTACGACCACGTCCAACGTGCGAAAATTCGACACAGCTGGAAGCTTGGGAAAAAGCTGTTGCAACAGAACAGAGGAAAACAAATGGGCACAATAATACCATAAACGAGGTTTTTTTATAGCGTGAAATTAATCGTAACAAATTTTTACCTCAACTTTTTTTCTGACACTCCCAAGAATCTCTGTTGGAAAGGTGAAAAGGTGAGCACAGGATTAACACGACTTTATACCAACTTGACAGGACTCTACCTTCTGAAGTCGGGATTATGACAAGAAAGGGCACAAGAGCAAACAAAGCTTTATGCTCAGAGGATGTGACAGAAGATCACTTTAGACCTGGAAGCCATGACCCATGGATAGTCCTCATAGCCCGCATTACCATGTGCTTTTCAAAAGGAAGAATCTCCTGGACACTCGAAGAACTTGGACATAGACATGCTATCTAATAATGTCAACCGAAGGAGATATAGCTATTACCTTTCATTAGCTTGTTAACTATGCTTTACAAAATCACAGTGGCGACATTCCTGGATATCAAGAGCTTTGTATCATATTATCTTCAATCAAATTTTCGACAGGATTATGGCGTATGAACTTCTTTGAAACCATAACTAGGGTTATAACATTCTACGGAGCTCGCGAAATAATTGTTGTATGTATTACTTCATTGTACTCTATGACTTATGTGTACTTTCCTATGTATTTATGTGCATCCCTGAAGTTTTGGAGAAAAAGTTAGATCGAGCGCCATCCTCTGAACGTTCTAAACCCAAGCAGCGGCTTGCACATAGACTTCAGTCACTATCACAGCTACATCACATCTTTAGAACCTTTCCCATTAGCAATCCCATTTAAAAGAACGTTCATGAGAGGATATCGTTTCGTCAAAGGTGTTCACTATCGCATTGCAGGAAGCAATGAGACAAATTTTTCAATTGAAATGAAAGGGACATGCATAATTATAGAGGATTCATATGAAACATTTACTTTGTCCACAACTACGTAGTCTTTTCACGTGAATTAATGATCGCTTCATGAACAAAGCCAGTTAACGAAAAACTTCTGGTTAATTGGAAAACGAATCGAGATGGATGATCCCTGAACTATGGAGGAAAGATTTTATGTCTATAAAGAGCACTTTCGATTCAAAATATCGTGAAAAAGAACCGTGTATAAAAAGTAGAGCATTAATCGAAGCGATTAACCAGCTAGTGGATTCAGATCTTACGTGGAATCAGTAGTTATGCAGCTGGAGCACTAACTTACACAGAAATTTCATTGAGGATCTTAAGTATCACCCATACCTCGAAACGGTGACGGGTTACGCAATGAACGAGAAGAGCGATTAAGAGTACGATGATTAAAGTGTCCACCAGTAAGACATCACTCATAAGGAGTGCTAAGAAGCTTCTACCTAGTATCTGTTTACTATACCAGTCGATGGATACTAACTACGGGCGAAACTATGCAAGCATTTCGATACTGTCATACTTTAAACCGGCCAACATCACTGATGACGATCCCGATGGAAAGGAATGAATAAAAAATGTGCGAGAAACAGCAGGATACGTTAGGATGTGCTTCAACGCTTCCAAGCAAGAAAAACAGAGTTGTAAAGTGACAATCTCATCGAAAAACTCATGTTCTCATTCAAAGACACCTACTAGATGAACAGCAATACTCGTCTGTTTCTCATAGACATTTTCAGCACAAATTCAAGCTAAAATTTCAACAATTCGAACACATAAAAGGCAAAGTCGTACTATTATGTCAAGCAAATTTTATTGAAAGACATTTGACGGAAACTTCGAAACCACCAAATTTTCTTATGTCTCATTATCGATAACTGTATAAGTTGATTCTGCTTACTGGTCTTCTAATATAACTTCAACGGTGCTCAGATATTTCCAAAACTCCGGACCGCAGGTGTCTGCGGTGGGGAACGAACGCGGTATTGTCCTTTCCGGGGAACAACGCATTCACCACCACACCATGCGGATCCTTCGTTTACCCTGCCATTAAAAAGAGTAGGCAGTAAATAAAGCGGTTAAGATCGGTCTTATAATAGTTCTATCGTAGTTCAACCGCGAAATTTACCACTTTTATTTTCATTATTACTATTACTACTATTTTCATCGCATGCTCCTTCACTGATAAACCGAAACAAGATTGATAGGAAGCTTTAATCGACTTTTAGCACCCGAATAAAGTTTAGCCTATCAAAGAAAGACTATACATTGATTATTCGCACCGAGATTGAATGAAAATCGGTTTTGAAAAATATTGCTGTCATTATTCTTGTTACTCCAGCAACAATGATACTGTTGCTCCTACTAGTCCAAAATGAACAATGATTCAATAAGAACTGAACGCTTTCTCAATTGAAATCACTAAGCGGATTGTTACAGAAGCTAATATGCTTGCAAAGACGCATTGCTAAAAAACTGGCATTATATCTTATAAGAAAACGAATTTCTTGTTTGTAATTTGACTAGCACGATAGCCTTTTACACATACTTATAAATAGTCTCCATGGACATGTTGGTTATTTGAAACGACGGATGGCGGTAAGTTTAAACGTACCGAGCACTTGATTGGATTACCGTCCAGAAGAAGTTGTGCTTGTACGTCAGCATTATCACCAAATGTCTTACATGCATTGCAGTAGAGGCTGAAATTTTAGTAAAGAACGAAAAGTTACAAATATTGAAACATTTAACTACGCAATTAACGACGTAGATAGATGAATTGATACCCAATACTTACTGTCGGAGGATGAATAGAGATTTATATTGTATTTAGATTCGTGAATTTAGTATTCAGAGGTCCAGGATATTGATTACTAAGTTGAATCACAAAGCCAAACACACTTATTACACAATTAATAAAAGAGCAGTATAAGCTCCTTCGGAAAGTAACGACAGATTTGCATGTTCATCCCTCTTACCTATCTTTTTTCAAGTTTTTTTTGGATTCTGTGCCATTATATATTACTGCAAACTGCATTTTATACAAGTTCGTGCTGTTTAGTTAAAATGTGACATAATTTGTTTTCTCCAAAATTCCAACACGTTAGATCTTCAGCTGTCAAAACAGTAATTTTGACAAGTTTACTTCTACGAGTTCTAACACTGGATCCACCGGAAACAGCTGGAAATACATTAACGAAGTATCGCTTCAAAAAATTTTTAACGAACGCACACTGCAATGTTTGTTTGGAATTCGAATTCTTGTAGCAAATTCGACCTCGAAGTTGAAGGAGGTCGCGGAAGTCCATCTGCTACTGACAATGAAATGAAGGGTTTGATAGAAGAAAATGAACGCACAACTGTTGGACAACTTGCAAAAATGGTCAATCTAAACACCTTCTTTCAGATTATTTAAGGAAAACTGAAAAAACGAAGAAGCTTGACAAACAGGTGCCGTACAAACTGAACAACAATGAAAAGAATCGCTGATCTGAAGTATTGTGGGTGCACTTTTTTTTACAACCAGAACAACCCGTTTCTCGATCCTATTGTGAGATGCGAGGAGAATCCTATATCTATAGATAGATCCTTTACGATAATCGACGACAGTCCCTTGAGCACTTTTACCGCGATCAAGCCGCAAAGGACCTCTGAAGGCCGAAATTGCACCGAAAGAAGGTCCTGTTGACCTCTTGCTGAACCATTCTAAAACAGGGTTTCTACCTAAATCCGAGTCAAAAGATTAGCGAGCCTAAGGGTGAAGAAGTATGGCCAAAAAATCGACGAAATAAACCAAAACTTCAGTAGACATGTCACCCATCAGTCAACAGGAAGGACGACCAGCTTTCCAAGAAAACGTACAACGACACGCTGCACTACGGACAGTGCCAAAGTTGAGCTAGCTGAGATACGCAACTCTGCCTCACCCTCAATACTCTAGGACGTCTCTCCTGCCTAGTGCTATTTTTTCAAGGATTTTGACAACTTCTTATGATAAAACTGCTTCAGAAACCAAGCCGAGGTCTAAACCGCCTTCATTGACTTCATATCTTCAAAAAGAAAAGAATTTTAGGCAACTGGTGAGAATAAACCTGTTTCCGTATGGCCCATATGTATTACTGTTTGAAGAAGAATTTGTTTAGTAATTCTGCGTCAGGTGCGTCCTTCTTTTACACCTTATTAGTGGATAACCCACAATATGCATTGGTTGCCATGCATGCGTGAGAGACAAGTAGACAGGGTGCATTTTCAACAGGGCTTTACCTTTACAGCTATTTCACCATACATTGCTTTTTTGTTATACTTTTCGTATTCGATCGGTAGCTTATCTACAACAGGTGTTAAGCCAGGCATGGGTTGCAGAAATACCGAAAATTTTACAAAAAATTGTCTTGTGGGCGAGTTCAGGTCGTGGCGAGAGACTGTTGCGATTAAAAGAAGTATCATAAAGACTTCTACAGATGAGGAGAATGGCGAAATATCTCCTTTAGCGTACATGCACATCTATTTTCGACACGTAGGAACAATTTTCCCCTATATTAGAAAAGCCTACAATACACATGGGACCAATCCAGCGCCCTAGACCCACCAAGCCCTCCATCATTTGGTGGTAAGCAAACTGGTATCAAGCTTGTTTGGGAGGATAGCAGCACTGGCTGAACACATCGCCAGACCACCGCGAGCCATTGTATAGGTAAGATATGCATTTAATCCTCTCCAACAATGCTCAATGAAGTCGAATGCAAGGTACATCTCTCAGGGATTGATGAACGGCAACAGCTTTTCTTTTTTATACTTTATACCAAAAAGTTAGCGTCACTATTTACTGATAACGAAGTATTTTCATGACAGACGAGTTGTACAAAGTCTTTAAGCGACAACGCATAGGGAGTCGTCCCACGGAAGCAGCCCCAAAAATAGGAATCAGTCATTTTTCTAAAAATACAGTGCGCGTTCTATGACCAAGACTTAAACCTCTATGAGTTATTCTTCGTAAAAACAAGATTTCAAAATGATTTAGTTACGAAAGAAAAGCTAATGCAGAACCATTAATGTCAATTTGGACTCTTCGCTAAACTATTGCTCAATACGCCGCTGCAAATGACCCTATACGAAATCCTTTTCCTGCTGACTACGGTAGCCGAGAAACCCAAACGACTGTTCAAAAGAGTGTTTCTAAAGCTTGCGAACGCGAGAACACGAGAACAGAGGTCACTTCATGGCGAACTTATATTAGTGCGCACTGCAAAGCTGAGTGTTACAAAATGTTGTAAGCTTCAGCAATTTGGAAAGTTACGTGCCATTTTTTTACGAAGTCCACGCACTTCATTCCTGCCATATGAAACTGTACATTTAAATCCAAAACGAAGAACTATACAACACAAAAGTCGTTTAGCGTTTTGAAATTGTGCGTGGCAAAGTGGAGATAATGAAATCACAAGCGGCTTTTAAGGCGACCTTTTTATTTGCTAAAAGGTTGAATTTATATTAGAAAGTTGAACTGTTACAAATAAAAATTATGAAACCTAATTAAAGAAACGAAATCCAATCGTAATGATGCTTAGACATTTGCACAGCTCGGACGTCAGGCTAGATTCGAACACGCGATTAGTCTTTCTGAAGGACGATTTTGCGGAGAAAGTTCGGAGTGATTCCGGTCAATATGGTGAAGCCCTTTGCATTGTGGAAGTTCTTGTGAGAGCTGTACATAAATTAAAGTAGTTTGTTCCTAAATTTATTATTTTGTCTTAGTATGTGGTATTTAAACTTCCATCCATGGCACCATTTCCTTTTTCTTTCGTACATAGCTCGTTTCATTCCATATCATCTAGAGGTCTCAAGTATCCAATTTTTGTATCAAGGGATGCGTAGCGCCGATTTTCCGTATTACACTTAGCGATGCCCACTGGTCTCTATCGTACATCGCATTATATCATGCAGATGAAGCCGTACTAGCAGTTTTTTAAGTGGTTATAAAATACGCAGTAAGGTGGACGTTAATAGAAGGGTCCGAGTTTTGCAAATATTTCAGCGATCCCAGTTTTGTAATTATCTCAGCATCATTGTAGTTGTGTTTGACATAATGCTCTACCATTAGAAAAAAACAATGGGAAATAAATAAAAAGGTAAACATCAAAGTCCACTGGTCAACATCAGGGTGGTTTACTGCGTATTATCGCCTAGTTTCGCCTATTTTTTGATACCTAGAAGCGCCCACTAAAATTTCCCATGGTCACAAATTTTAATAGGCCTCCTCTATATTCATGTCACAATCATTTATAATGATTCCAACTCAGTAAAGAAATCTTCAGGAAAAACGAATCCGTGACGAATTCGTGCAACGCTACAGCGGTCATATAACATTCAATGGAGGGTTGCAATTCCGGGGTGCAACATTCTGGACTTTAGAAATCGAAGCAAGAGCAATAACGGGGACTATACGATCAGAATCATTCCGTCGACGCAACGGAAATCTAGTTGAAAGCGAATGTATCTCAGTGCGATGCAACAAAGTCGTATTAAACCTGGGTTACCCACTGAAGTATAAACTCATTAGCACTTCGTAAATGTAACGACGAACAAAATAACATTACTTCTCATCACTTCCACTATCAATAAAACAATTCAATCCTACTTATCCTACTTATAGCTGTTGATATATGTCACAAATGGTTCACAACCTTGTCTTACACGACAGTACATCTGTATTGAATGTAATCATCTCAGTTTCAGCTACAACCGACGAAAAACGGGGAAAATTTTGTTAATTGCAATTTGGAGTTCTAACGTCGAAAAGTAGGAAATTATTCTAGTCCACTTCTTTCTCTGTTATTAATCGCATACAGACAATGAACATTTACATGGAAATGGCTAAATCGTAAATGCGTGCGTCGGAGAACCACTTCCTATCTCCAGAAAATTGAACAAGTGAACCAGGAGCTCCATCGTCTAGGTCTGAACTACAAATCACTGCCTCTATCAACGTGCTTGCTGGACCATTCGCCTAGCAGCTATGTCTTCTTCAAGCATCTCGACATTTCCCTGTGACACAAATGCTTCAGAAACATAGCCAAGGTTGGAACTGTCTTCGATGACGTCATTCTCTCCAAAAATCCAACACTTTGTAAGACCGATACAAAGAAAAAACTCATCTTGAAAAAATCGCCGGCAAAAATCTGCAGATTCCAACAGTTGTTTCACAACTTGATTAATGAAGTTTACTACAAGCCGAGGTGTCTCACTATAAAAGTGAAAGTTGTGATCATCCATTAATTTCCAAACGACCTAAGAACACGAAAAAATACCAAAACGGCAAGAAATTCAGGTTTTTGGGTAGAACAAGGTCCTCAAGCGCGTGCTGCCCATATGTAGTGATCATGTGAGTAAAAAGAATGCATTGATGCCATTGAGCCAAGGAATAGAAAAAGAGTGGTATTCAGTGAAAAAAGACAATGATTTAGTACAAAGTGATAAGTGACGTAAACTTACATTTCTCAAAAGAGAAGATAAAAAATTACCCACAATGGTTCAATTTCACGTTGTATATGAGAAAAGAGGACACACATGGTCGCTGGTTCGACCCTTCGCACGGGGTAAACCAAGTCTCTCATATGCACGTGGTCAAAAATCGGTACCAGACGTGCGAGAGGGTAAAAACACTAATATACCCACTGGTTCCTCTTAAATAATTGTAAAAGCCAAATATCTATTAAATCACCTTTAGGGTGGTACGAATGAAATCGAATGCACTGCGCATTCGTAAGGGATTGATAAACACCGAACGCTCTTTCACGTTTTATATAAAAAGAGAATGTATGAAGCAAAAAAAAAACCGTAATGTTTAATATTTGTTGTGGGACTCACCACGAGCCGAAGCCGCCACATCCGTCGGGTCCTTGTTTCACACAACTTTCTGGCACCTGTTTTTTACTGGCAGTATTACGGAGCTCAAGGTAAATGGAGAATTCGCCGGAGAAATCCTTAGTAAGAAACTCGTTTTACCTATATAAAAACGATCAGTCATATACGAATGAATGAATGAAAGTTCGGAGAATAGATTTAACTGCACTTCGTTAAGACGTTCATGTCATTCCGCGGATTAAAACATAACTAGATTAATATGTTGCTTTATTGACGAATTTAAAAATCAGTTAGCTAAATTAGCTACATGCACCATGCCGTAGTACGAGATCATTTTCTTTTTTGTTGTTCTTTCTCACTTCATTTCCATTTCTTTCTCCTTCTTCTTTCACATTGGCAGTTTACCACTTGTCACGCTTCCTATCTATTCGTTTCACAACGTTTCGCCATCCTCTCTTCCGACCTGTTCGACACTTTTTGCTATTTTCAAACATATTTTCGTTGATAATAACCAAAATGTGACAAGGAATGACACTCAATCATAGTACTTAATAACCAACAGAGAATTTGTTTGGAATACTATCGACACCTTGTCCGAGAAAATCACAAAAAAAGTCGGCAGCACTTTCTTACTTCATTAAGCACACCTCTCAGTGCTACAGTCAATGCTTCGTAAAACGAGGTTGTAGACTTGTAAAGCTTCTAACAGGGCCCGATAAACAGTGGTTAAGAGTGGTTAAGGATGCGGCACAATGCATGCATAGCGGCCAGTTCCACCTGGTTCTACGACACATGATATGGTCCTGTCATCCTTCCGCGGTCGGCAAATTGTTGTCAACCACATCCGAGAAAAGTCTTATCCGGTCCACAAAGTCAGCTTGAGGTGAAAGTCCGCAGTCAATTCGATGGGCACTCAATGACACCAGTGAAGAAGGCAAATCAACTGAATCCTCACGCAAATCAGAAAAGTTCGTAAGTGACGGATGCAAGACAATGAAAAGAGTGGAAGAAGTGCTGGATTCTACACAGTGTTTGCAGTCGGTTCACTTGCAGTTCAGAGGTCAGAGGCGCACTACAATACACACGTAGTGGTTCGACCCCGCACTCCAATCCCACAAAACTCTTCTTCCTTGCAGAGTCGAAAAATTGTTATCAAATCTGTTAAGGAAGATAGCAAGACTGAATTGATACATCTGTAGCCCACGAAAACACTGCATAGGCTGGATTTGTACTCACTCACCTCCACCGAAGTCGAATGCATGTCGCATACGCCAGGCATTGACCAATGTCCAGACTTTTATCCTCCATGCTTTTTTATCAAGCACGCAATGAAATTTCTCGCAAACGCACATATACATATATATATATATATATATATATATATGTATACAGCACTGCGTACAGGTTTTATTTTGCCCAGATCAGCGATTCACTTTACTGCGTCGTGAAGTTTAAGCGAACGGATGACATTTTCTGTGACCCCATTTGAGAAGTATTAAAACAGTCAGACTACCAACGAAAGTAGTTCCACCAAGAACTGTAATGAATGGGTATAGTAATCATCGCAATGAAAACTACTTAATAAAAAACGGAAGTTTTCAGGATAACGTTATGAAACAACGTGAAATCCAGTATTGCTCTGAAAATCGAGGTTGTGTAAGTAACATAGTGTACACTTGTATATGAATAGATTTTGTCTTTATATTTATTTGTTCCATGACTGTTTAAGAAAAACTGAGTCTTACAAACCTCAAACACTTCAACTTTGCCTCCGATAGTATAACAGTTTACTCGATCAGGAATAGGCTCGAGTTTTGGTCCGATTCTGTCAGTTCCCGATTCAAATTCTAATTTTCTTCGCCATTTTGCTTCTGAAGTTGAACTACACATAAGAAATTATTCAATAAGTGTTGAATGTTATGAAATACATAATTACAGACTCGGTACTCGGCAGCATATTCTCCAAAGTTTTTGAAACTTGAAAACGACCCCTAATGCTACTCATGTGCAGTAAACGAGAGAAATCGCAGCGGATCTCATGCATTTGTATTTCGAAGCAGACATGTCTTGGCACTTTTTTCATGAGAAATAGTGTTTGTGTTACCTTCTTGATGAAGAAAGCAAAGAGTGATTGCGAGACGGACGAACAAACTTGTTCCAGTAGAGTGGTCTTTTTTTTGCAAATTGTAATGTGTACAAAGAAGCAGTTTATTAATCATACCACCTGTAGCGCCCTTGACAAAAAACCTATGGATTTAATGAAAAGAGTACGGCTGAAAATGTTTCGTTTTGGTTTTTGCGGCAAAAGAAAAAGCCAGAAATGAAATGTGTCATATATGATTCATACCATCGCAAACGTACTAAACGTCACAATACAATGAGAAATTAAAGACACATTTTCCAGTTAAATGATAAACTCATTAGATTTTAGCGAAGGGTCAGATGTGGAAAAAAAGAAATAGGCCGATGGGACCTATGAAAACTAAACGGCTATGTCACAGTTGTGAAAACATTGGAAAAGTTTATTTCTATTATTAGTTCAGGTATTTTATATTCACTCGCGTTTCCTATAGGAAAGCTATTTTAGCGAAAATAGCACAAAAGTGGGAAAAAGAACTGTATTTCCGTGGTCTCAGAGCGCAAATAAGCAAAATTTTTCAGATTTAAACCTACTTTCACCGTGACTACAAGGTTGGTGTTTAATTAACTCCAACTGGAAACTGAGATCATCGCCAAGTTCAATTGCATTCACCAACATCATAAAACTCGACAAACCGGCAATAAAACTATGCATTCTGAAAAGAAAACTCCTCTAATTTCCTCCTTCACCACCTGTCGGTGTTATCACAAATAAATGATAAACACGTCTTTTAACACTTTGTACGAACGGTTACATTTGTCTACAAAATGCTATAGAAGGAACAAAAATAGGTCATTCACAAAAGAACGCTAAAGTTTATCATCTGCAAATTTCAAAAAATTTCAAATCACAGAAGAACTGAAGTAAATATAAGCACAGGTAAATGTTTTCGTGTTTTCGAAGAAGTCGTATGGCGCTGAGTTTACGTTTGCGCTGAATAATACGGTAACAAAATAACTCAGAAAGGAAATATGCCCATGAGATTTTCCACATGGAGGTACTGGTCCATTATAAAACAAATGTAATTTCTTCGTAATCTATGAAGAATAGATTTCGAAACAGTAAAGGGTAGACACAAAATCAATTCCATTAGATGAAACGTCTTCCTCATTAGGTTGCATTATAAATGGAATACTCGTTACTTCACAAGGAAGAATAGATCTGCAACTGCGTAATACAAATATCTACGAACTTCACAAACCTAGATTATGCCTTCGAGCTTTTGCTTTGTCTTTAGTAGCTGTAAAAAAAGTAAAAACAAATGGGATTCACATTCGAATATGGCAATGTATGAGCAGATTTAACACATGAGAATTCCACAAGCAAACAATGAAACACAATTCTAGTGGGATTAACGTAATACTGTAAGTAAATGTTAAGTGAAAATATGAAGGAAGGCTTGCAAAGAATATAAGCAAGACATAGCTGGAAATATGATTAGGCACGCTAGCCGATCCAGTGATGGAAACGACAAGACCTGTTGTGTGCGTCAGTCAGTGATGAACATGCGAAAACGAAAAGTGTGACTGGGATATGAGAAACGTTAACGTTTAGTGCTCAAAAGGAATGATGGGAGGCGTTAATAACGAGATATGATGATCAGGTTTCGTACGTACGTGAAATGCAAAAAAAAAATAACCACGGATCACGACTGCCGACGACAGTGTGTAGCAACATGCAAAGCTAAACCCTATACCATCCCGAATATAACGAACCTCTACAGCATGGATACACACGTACACATCTACGCTCACACACATCGATACACATATACACAAATACGCACAAACATACATACATACGCATGCATACACACAGGCACATAAACTAAAGAAAAGTATTCTCTAGGCGCCGTGCATAGCAATCATGAGATGTCATCCTCACAAAGTTTCTTGAAATAGCACCAGTTAGCCAAAGCTCAATTCTAAAATGGAAATTGCAGTGCTCTGTAAAGATCCTCTGTCCACCAAATGTTCACAGATCCTTCAAGTAGGATACAGCAATAATTAAACATAAATGATAATCGGACATTGGAGAGCTGCTTACATTACAATGAAAGTGAAAGAACGAATTCAAATCAATGTGAACATGTGAATGGACGGTATTGGAACGTGTACAAGTAAAAGAAAGGGTTTACGTCTTGAATCGGATAAGTTGCTGTTCTAGAATTTATTCCTCAATTTTTAAACGTTAGCAAATTTTTTCACTATTTTCGAAACGTTATAGGCTATTCCGTCATCTTCGACTTTTTAAATTCTGGCGTCCAGCCTCTCAGATGAGAATAGCTTGTGACAAATATCTTACGGATTGTCCGATATGTCTTAACTGATATGAATCAATAATTGCCACAATTCCTTCTTTGCGCGATCAGATTGAAACACAAGTGAGAAAAGGTTGAGACTTTCCGCGTCGATCAAATCCCTGAATAATGGGCCATTCATCCAACTCCACTAAGTATCGTAGATGTCAATGAATACATATCTGGCCTATGCAGTTACTTTCTGGGCGAGAGAATCGAACCACAGACCCCGTGAACATATCAAAACATGTTTGACGGCTGCGCTACGTATTCTCAATCATTTCCAATCATTACATTGGTCGCTACCGTTTTTTTTCAGCACAGATCTCAAACTTCTTACGTCTACTTCTCTGGGGAAACTGCAAATGAGCAAAATTTGACATTGTTGTTCGAGGTATTTCTTCCTGGAAATATGTCTTTAACGCAAGGCTTAGGCTTTATTCCACAAACAATCTTATCGAAATAAAATATGTTAAACAATTCTTTCTACTTCTGTTCAGCAAACACGAGGTGCTATTTTATTTCTTGGTCTAAAAAATGAAATCTTGGTTCAGCGTTTTCTCTGTTTGGTTATGGAGGTTTTGGCCGAATAGGCTGCTGTCAACATGACGTTTCCAGGCTCTGGGGAAGGCGAAATCTGCTGAAACGTCAGCTTGTACGTAAATAGAGAAATAAAATAGCACCTCGTGTTTGCTGAACAAAAGTAGAAAGAATTGTTCAATCAATGCCGAGGTTAATAGAAAGCCGGACGTGGGAGTTACTAGAAAAATGTGTTAGACACTGCTACACGGAACTCGAAATAGAAGTAAACGCAACCTCAGGCATGTGCATTGTTGAGCAGTCTTCCAGGAGCATAGTCTTAAGGCATCAAACCTTACTCCAATCCGCAAGACTAGTTACTTCATGTGAGTGGGGAATACCACAGCACTTCGATCTCAACTCACTAAGGAACGAAGGTCACCTAATTATCTAAAACCATTCCAGTATATATCGTGGTTCTTCAAATAATTACATACTGGATTCTCCTTTTGGAAGGAATGAGCAGAAACGTTCCCATAGAATGTGCTTTTTTTCTGTAATGACGGCCATTTTAAACTCTTCGTTTCTTCAGCGCCTGGAATATGGACTAACCTGCTAGCTTGATGACTTGATATGTAGTCCAAAAAAATTTTTTTTATGATAAAGCCCCAGACAATCATCTTTTTCAAGATCTTTTCAAAAAACTGTCCTCTCAATGTCATTTGACCCTTCTCCAATCGATTCAAGAGCGGCTGTAATCGCTTTACTCCTTTTTTGAAGAGCAGATATAAGTGTTGTTGCAATGTTTATTACAATAGTTTATTACACAATAGACGACTTCACCTAAATACTGAAACGAACATTCCAGTACCAACCTCATGTTTGCTCATCAAGACGACAGTAAATCATTCATCAATGCCGAGATTAATAGAAAGTCGGTTCCAATCGTGAAAGTTACGTGATTTCCTCACTGGATAAGGACATCAATGTCAAAACCTATTCAATCACAACGTAATCCGCTTAGTTAAGATTGTATCCATAGAAAAACCATCACTGCAAACGTTCTTGGTGAGAAATGTTTGCAAACGACAGGAATCGTGACTACTTGCTTCACCATGTTCAATAGCTGTCGGTTAACCAGACTATGGCTACAACGCTAGGAACGGAGTGCCGACTACGATTCCTCACGATTTTTATCGTTTTTTCGAACTATATTCGATAGCATGCACGTATTCTGCATGAGGAGAAGTATTTACAAAGCCTTGGCATTCACACAGGCGATGACTAAGCCTAAAATGTCTTTCGATTCCTATTTAATACTCAGTAGAACGATTGCGAAACTTTTCCACAGCAATTTTATCATGATAACGCCCTCAAAACCGTCACCGTACATACAGCTGACATTCTGTATCTTATTGTTATTTTCAGTTGTAATATATGTGGTATTTACAATATATTGACATTGATGAGGCCTATTTGTGGTCTGCATAGCGATCGATCTCATCCGTCGCTCGTTTATAACTTTACCATCACTAATCGATATCCGTGTTTCGCACTGACAACACCGATCCTTCATTATCAGTTATGTGATTATCGTGTATTACATGGCATATTCGTATACGATATTTTGAAATTTTTACAGCAAATATCTGTTTTTTCCTTTACTTGAACTGCTTTTCAGTGATGCTACGATTACACTTGGATGAAACATCTAAAATGAAAGAAGTGAAAAGACATAAATTAGATGATATCATACGCTTAAATGTCGGAGGCAAGAGGTTGTTATCAATATATAGTTTGATTTTTCTGTAATTTTCGGACATCACCAATCATAGCTTGTATCTGAACATACGAAAATTTTGAAGGTTTGACACGTTCCTCGGAACTCTACTAGTGGATCGATCAAGTGATATTTATCAGTATTTCTTGCCACTACTTGAACCAGAGTCGGCTACCGAACAACAACCACCAAAGGATTCTGAAGGAGCAGTAAGTACCTGATGTACCTCAACCACTATGTGATTGCTACGCTTAGAAATGTCATATAGATGAGGTATTCGTATTTCCCTACATATTTTCAGTCAATATGTCAAAAAAAAGCAAAATAATCTTAGAGAAGCTCGTATTGGTTTCTGGCCTACAATTAACTCTGTGTGAAGTGACTCGTCCAATTTCCACCGATTCTAGAAGGTCATTCTTGATTTTCTCGTTCCGACGTTAAACGACAAACCTGTCAATCCTATGGAATGTTATAGCCAGCGAACTCATTAAAAACAGAGGGATTAAAGAAATCTAAGTCATTTGTTGAATTCCGCTAAACTACTAGCTAAGAATCTTTAAAACTCCACAATCCTAGTAAAGAAGACTTGGTCTTGTTCACGTTCCTAACAACTTCTCTTCTAACGAATGTGTGGGCGCACAAGTTTCTTTCTGTGCATAATTTAACAGCTTCACCAAATTTACACTATTTGATAGTTTTCCAACTAACTGTTGGTCCCATGTTTGAAATATTTCACAGTTAAGCCATATTTTATTTGTCGCGTAAAGTGCATTTTCTTGATCGTAAAATCGACTTTGTCGTCACCAGTCAATAAAGGGAAGGCTTCATCCCCAGATTAAATCACCATTTCCCGCACGAGATTTATTTGGTAGTAAATGTAATATTATATAATGGCTTCAAAAACAAGAAACGATTTTTAGAGAACTATAATCTCGAACAACTTTTCAATGGTTCCTTTAGTCCTTTCGAAAAAAAATTAACTATAGGCCACATTCCAGCGATTAATTGTAGTGGCAACATTAACTAATGCAACTTTCACTTATGCGTTTACTTTTGAAGTTCATTTCAATGCAGCTTTGGTCCAGTACAACATTCAATCATCTAAATGCAACGTTCGTTCATAAAATGGATTCTTTTCGTTTAAAACAACAGCGCCGTCGTTCGGTATCATCGAGAACTGCTGACATATTGATTGCTTCGAGGTCGTTGAAGTTGATGAAGTGCTCGTCATTGAGCAAACCTTCAAAGTTGGGTAAATTTGGGAATCATGTACTATGCATAGGATACTAGGCTGATTCTTAGCTTCTTAGTCAAGTCTCTGCAATTGTGAACGAATAGTCGAAACCACTCTTCGTTGAGCGTTTCATGAGGGTATATTCGAGCTCTCCATCACTGCTTCTCCTTGATAGCAGCAGCAAGACGGCGAGACGAATTTGCATGTTCGTCCACGTCGATCCAAAACTCATCTAGCATCAGGTGTGACACAACACGCTGCTGTAACCCCATCACATAATCAGCCTTGAGTTCGATCTCGAGTAAACCAACGGCTGATATTTTTTTAACATTTACGTCATAGCGCCTGCTATAACATTAAACATAAAGCGACCTCTATGGAGCTCACATCGGCCAGTGTGTTCTCGACTAAATGACTTCTGCAGAGGCCAGGTCATCAAGTAGGTGATAATAACCAGAAGTCGCAGCGTCTATGCATTCCGGGCATAATAGTAACCGCTAACAAAGCGGTACCTAGGCAGCTCAGCTCCCATTCTATGCCTCACCACTCACAGGTGCTCCTCGATGGTAGTGACAGCGGAATTTATCAAATCGCGCTTTGTTACGCTTAGATGACTTTCCAGCCGGCGTCAAAGGAAGAGAACCGGCCCCGACATCACTGCGAGTTTCGAGATTCCCATTGCGCTGGCGACGAAGCAATGCGACCAACAAGGCACAGTAGAGTGAGTCATGAACGATTAACACTGGCACTGACAACGCTTGTTTCATTGTCAAGTGTGGGTCCTGTTTGTTAAGCTTGACCACGGATCAATTTCCATGTACTTTATATTCAAATTATTGCAAACTTCTAGCCAAATCAGCCTGGAACATGTAGTTCCCATATGCGCATGCATAAAGAGTAAGGAATAAAGCTCTCGGCTTCGATTAATCATCGAAGGATATGCCATGCATTCGATTTTATCAAACATCGTTAGAGGTGGTGATCGAATGCATACCTGGGCTACACAGTGACTTGTAGTAACCCACCGATGTATTAAATTAGTGCTGTTATCCTCCTAAGCAAGTCTCGTAACAATTCGACGGCCTCGAAGGAATGAAAACCTTGATCAGCCCGCTCAGCAGGATCGAAGCAACAAGCACATGAATACTATAGGGAACCTACGACCACTCCGCTAAGTGCGCGACATGCAGGCGTATCCACACATATCCGCCTCAATATTATTAGATTTATACAGAAATTATATAGACCACCTTTGCAGTAGGGGCACAGCGCCAATTCCCCGAATTTGTTTGCGTATAAACTTAAGTCTATAGTTGCTCTTGGATCCAGTTTATCTCTAAAATCCCCCTCCCCGACCCATCGCAGTAATTCCCAACTAACTGGCCCGAAATCTGAACAGTAGACTGACCTCAATGATGCAGAGATATTTGTAAAACTCCGGACCGCAGGTGTCTGCGGTGGGGAACGAACGCGCTATTGTCTTTTCAGGGGAGTAACGCGTTCACCACCACACCATGTGGTTCCTTCGTCTCGCCTGTCTCTCAGCTAGTTCTATCGATTTCTTGCCACCAGCAATCACCTATCAGCGAGAACGACCTGGGGAGTCCAAATCAGCAACGAACTCAATTAAACTGAGGTTCTAGTTATAATCACATTTTTAACTTATTATTTACCACCTACTCTTTTAATGGTAGGGTATATTGCGAAATATAACTTCAATGATGCTGAGATATTTGCATTGCTGATGGGAAAAGATCGATAGAGCTCAAAGACAGTCGAAACGAAGGATCCGCATGGTATGGTGATGAGCGCGTTACTCTCCATAAAGGACAATAACGCGTTCGTTCCCCACCGCATACACCTGCGATCCGGAGTTTTGCACATATCACAGCATCATTGAACTTATATTTCGCCATATACCTTGCCATTAAAAAGAGTAGGCAGTAAATAATAAGTTGAAATAAGTAGGCTGATTGTTCACACTCCACTATTAACTTCACAACGGGCAAACAAAAATGATTAGAACACCAATTAGAAGGCAGTAGAGGAACATTCAACGCCGTAACTCTCTACGGCAACATTTATAGTGATAAATGTTCCTAACCAAGCATACAGTATCCTTTCACTAATAGGCTAACACGAGGTTGACGAAGAGTGCTAGAGATTAAAAAGAAATGAACTTTCTTATCGACCTCATGCTAGTTTATCAATGAAAGAATACGTATTGACTAGTCATGTAGAGATTAAAAGAAATTCAGTTTTCGAAACACCTAATATTTAACGGATTGATGTGAGAAAACAGTGATGCGAGGTGCGCAGTAGTTAAAGATGGCAAGCCTTCCATCACTCGACAAATTGGTACCAGATTTCTTCGCAAAAAAGCTCTCTCCAAAACACATATCCACAACGATAAGCGCCTATCTTTGGTGAAGACTAGAGCTCTAGTGGAGTAGTCCTAGGAATGTACAAAAAGTTGCATGCGACCAGCATTCAAAGGTATTCATAAACAACGCATAATCCTTACACAGCAGTAGAACCCACATTCAAATCCGAAGACTATGGTGGATGAAGGATGCGAGACAATTTGTAACGTAGGGTGATGTAAATAACTGAAAAAAAAACAAGTAAGATTCAAGAAAACACAGACCTTGTAAGCAATCGGTGAAAATATCCTGGCGGCTATTTGAATACGGTAGAAACATAATACCAGAGCAACCAGAAAAATACCAATGAGATAAGAATTATTTAGTGACTCCCAACGGTATTTATGAAAATAAACTGTCCAAGTATCCGTTGTGGCAGCAAATTTTTATACCAAACACGTGGAATGTGACACAATTCGAATAGCATTCGAGTACAACCGAAAAAAATGTGCATTCGTCGGTCAAATCCTTGAAGTCGATCAAGGACGTTCTTTGAAATATATACGGATCTTTTTCTTCCCAGTAAAGGTGTATTTTAAGATAAGTTTGAGCATAACTCTGATCTTCGAATTCCATCCCATTTTCGAGGTCCAGGGTAGAACAAATCGACTGTGAAGGATAGACGGTCGGTCTTATAACGAGAAGAACAAAGACGAAAAGTCTTTGCAAAAAGTACTATGCACACGTCCCTCGTGACGACTATTTAGGAGATGGGCGGACACGTTCGTAACTCAAATGAACTAGTCAGTTGGACTGCAGCTGCAAGTGTTTTACAAATGTTTCACAGTATGAGATTAGTACCCGCCACCGCCTAATGGATCTTGGGTTTGGTTTACTCTTAGCTGGGATTCCTGATGGAAACACCGGAAACGGACCCTACTGGCAGAATTCGCAGCCTGGAAGGCTTTGTCAGGAGGACGAATTCCACCGCTGTACATCGCAGCCCGACACCCAGGAACACCTACCAACCACGATGAGAAGGTAAACTGTTGTGAACGTCGAAGTATATGTCTTACCAAAAAAGGAATTGAAAGAGAAACAAGATACAAACTACCTCATGATGATAATTGCTTCAAATTAAAAAAAGAAACAAATTCCGCGAATCAACTTGAGTTTAGTAGACTGATTTCTTGACTTTTCTCATGATTTTGAACCTCCTTCATAATTTTTTGATGATGTTCACTTTTAAACAGAATAAAAAGTGCTACATGTAAATATTAGTTGACCTTGCGCCTTAAAAACAAAAAAAGGAGACAATTGCATTATATAAAGTGACATCAACTCGAACGGCATGGAAGAACAAAATGATAATGTTTTCTCCTTGTGTATATTAAAATTCATACAGCAAAATGATTAGAACTGAAGTGTAATACACACATCGTCATTGGCTCGATACCGATGGGTCAATCAATGTTCACATCCTTCCACAGTAAACAAATTGATACCCGTTCTGGAAGAGCTCCGCTCCGATTCGTAATCCGACGATTGGCCGTGTTTAGGACTGTGCATACTACAGTACAGCTATCCTAAAAGCATCAACTCGACTAGCACTCAACGACATTAGCGAGGCGCACAAATTCCTCAAGCGCCGACCGAACTCACAAGTAAATCCGAAGACTTCTGTAGGTGGTGGATGTAATACAACGAACCCAGTGAAGGAAGAGCTAGAATCTACACAATATGCGAAAATCTAAACAAAAAAAAATAAAAGAAAAAAGAAAGGAATTGGACTACGTTTTACAAGTACTTCTAAAAAGAATCGATCTTACTTCATCCACTACGTTTCTAGGAGAGGCACCAGTGTTGATATAAGTCACTTATCGTTGTTCGTTTGTTTGTTCCAAAACAGTCAGTTCTCTGGCAAAAAAAAAATGCATTAAACTGTTTGTTCCTTGTTAACTTTCGCTTATCAGTTTTTTTAAAAGCTTTTCTTAGTTTATTAACAATATAACTCACCCAAGCAACCAGCTTGCTTGTTTTCTATTCAGTAACGTTTTTTTTTCCAAAGATTTTCTCAAACACAGGGAATTATGTAAATATCGGGCGTCTATTAATAATTCTAACAGCAATATTTTTCAGTACTTCCTAGATCGCGATCCAGAGAATTTTCGTACACTCCTAAATGGACTGCGTTATCTCACACAAATCCAGTGTAAGTTTTCATTCATGCTTCAACCACATAATGTTGCTAAAGGACAAAAAAGTTTTCTGGAAAACGACGTTGTAAGCACACGGCTAATATAAGGGACCTCCAGAAAATTTTAAAGGCTGGAGAGTTTAGTACCTATAACAGGTAGGATATTGTGGTAAGATGTAATGTGTTTTGAACCACGAGTATTTCCGTCACCATTAATAGTTGCACTTAGGCGTTGTATAAGGATAAAAAATAATTAAGCTGAAAGCACTTAACAATGAGAAAAAGTTGCATGAAAGTAGGCATTGATTTCCCCAATGTCACTGCAATGCTGTTGAGACGCGCTGATTCGTGGGATTTTTTTGTAAGGCACTGTAGATTTAAGTTACATCAACAGCAGTTCTAAAGTTGATATAACAGTGGAGAGAAACTAACCACTCATATCTAATCTCCTACCAAATGCGGTTCGCGACCCCTGAAGGAACCAGTGTTGATCGGATGGTACCGGAGCGCTGCAAAAACCATGCATGCAATGTTTAACGCATGGCATTGCGGTACACATCTAATTTTTATTTGACCCGCCTTCACATATACTGCGCCGATCCTAGTACTTCTACATTCAATTCGTTTCCTCTCATTCATCGTCCACGAAGGTCTTCCAAGTTTTTACGTGTGGCTTCGGTTGCTGCTTGAGTGTTTTCACTTCATCTTGGATATCGTAGAATGCTGGCCGAGCAATTCTTCCTGGAGTCCTGAGATAGCGGGGTTGGTAATTTTTTCCTAGACAAGTCCGGCACCAGTTTCTCGACCCCTGAGGGATGAGAGGCTTGGTTGGCCTGGAGCGAATCAAACTAGTACCGTGCTCATGATGAAGAGCATCACTACCACTGTGCTATCCGCCCCACACATCTACAGGAATAAAATTGAAAACATTGCCACATGCAGCGTAGTGGTCAGCGGTGTTCTGCAATGCAAACATGCTCGTTGGTTCAATCCTGCAATCAGAGCAAAACAGGCTTTTCGTTGCTTCGGAGTAGGTAATTTGATACCAAACACAAAAACACTAACATGATATATCAGTATGCCCATGAAAGTCATTGCATAGGCGAAATACCCATCCAATCACCTCTAAGATGCTAGGAATGAAGACGAATCCATGGCATTACAGAATTGGTTCAAGTCAACCGCTTTGTTATTTACCATTTATGTT